TCATGGCGGTGTATCACTCTGGCGACCTCATCAGGGTCATCTTTGAGAAAATCGCCCCGGGTCACCGCCTCTGGGTGACGGGCCTTCAGCACTTCCATACAATCGCTGTCCACCTCCCATACAATGTGCAGCGAAATGGCTGCTACCAGCCCTTTGAGGACCAAAGCAGCAGACCCAATGCCGTCGAAACAGCTGACAAGGATGACCTCCTCATTTAACTTCTGGAAAACTTGGCCTCGCTCGGCCGTTGGTGGTTGGCTGGGTGGCGGGTACCCAGTGCTGTCGGGTGTCACGAGATCCACCTGTCTCATGACCCCGTGTTGTCCCTATTTGGACGGCGTCTTCCAATCGGAAGACCAGGGCTCCTTCTGCCACCTCGGCTTGTCATCCTGCTTCTGCGATCCCTGCCATGGGTGGGCGGCTCTGTCATAGCCGTCGTCCTTGTGCCATGTCCCCTGTTTTGTAGGGCGGCTGTAAGGAGAAGGTCTCGTGCCCTTCCCTGACTTTGTGCTACCTTTGCCATAACCCTTGGCTTCAGCCTTGGCAGGGGCTGATGGCATGGGCTTCTTGGTGGTCTGGCTGGGTTCACGGCTCATGCACTCAGTGAAAGAATCATAGTCCTTCATGATGAGCGCCGTGGCCTCCATGAACGTGCGGCCTCCTCTCATCTCAAGGGCCAGCTTCCAGGAGACCGTCATCCAGAACTGCGCAAGCTGGTCCGTCTTCTGTGGTCTGCTGCGGACCAACCTGACCAGCCAATCGAAAAAGGCGTGGACCGCCTGCTCGGTGCCCAGCTTGCATAGGATGAAGCACCATCGAATGCTCGCCAAGCCGTCCAGGATGGCAAGGACGCTCCGAGGTTGCCACGGTTCCTCAGGGGTGGCCACAAGTTGCTCACCTGTCAATGTGAGCTTGGTCACATTGCGCTCTCTCTTTGCGAGAGGGTTCGGCTCACCATTGGCCTGAAAGGTCCTGGTCGAGATCAGCTCCCCCAGCAACACTGGGGTATAGTTCTTGCTGGTCTCATGCTCGTGTAGGACCCGGGCGATGACAGCTTCTGTCCCCAGTAACTCCTGGACTGGGAAGACTCTGTCTTGGCCTCCGATCTGCTGTGACTGGTATTCCTGCACCAGTGCTGTCCAACGTCCTGGAGCCAGTGCCTTGGGGACCTTGTCCTCGGCTGGTGTTGAGGCTGCCGTGGAAGATGTGCTGTGGGTCGGTGTGGCCTTCGGCATGGCTGCATGTTGTGTCGCTTCCCATACCTGCTTGGCCATCATCCACATGTGCAGCAATACCGCCTTGGCAATGGGCTTGTCCTGTTCTCGCACGGTGATGGTCGTGCCATCAGGTCTAGGCCAGCCCTGTAGGAGAGGCTGTATCAGGGTGAGGTCGAGGTTGTCTTCGTCTCGACTCAGAAGGGCCAAAGTGGCCGGAGTCTTGATCCCTCTGGCGTCGAGGTATTCGTTGACTATGTCGCCAGCCGCCGCGTCTCTTGCTAGGTCTGCCAGCGACGTGGGTGCAAGGGAGAGCACCATGGTCGTGAAGTCTCGTTGGGACCGGTTGTGCTCAGCCAGACTGAGGGATAAACAAAAATACATCAAATCAGCAAAATAAAATAACGAAGCACTGTCAATCGCACCTTCAAATGAAGCAAACGTGGGAAACAATCCGGCATGAGAGGCATGACAATGAAAAATGAACACAAATAAACTTCAAATATGCCTCGGTCACGCTGTCATTGTTGGAATGCACGTGAGAAATGTGAAGTATGTTGTGGCCGCTTTGTTTTTCCATCTCCGCATGTGGTCAGCTCGCCTGCTGGAGCCGCCTAGTCTGCCTCTGCGCTGCTTGCAGAGGAGCTGGCTAAATCAGTGAGGCCTGAGGACCCGTCACTGCTATCTGAGCTTGAGTCTTCGCTCAAGTTAAAACACTTCCTACAACGTCTGGCTCCGTCAAACTCGTTGGACGTTCTCAAAAATGTGCGACTGCCGTAGTTCCAGCCACACGGTGTCCGCCATTTGACGGGTTCATTGCTGTCCTCATGATGTGAGGCTTTGTGAAGGATTCTGGCCCTTGGACGGAAAACATAGGTTTGTGCAGGCGCCTGCACGGCCTGCTTCACTTGTTCGAGCTCAGCTTTCAAGCCTCTGACTGCTGCTGCCAGGGCCTTGGGTCTGGCTGCGGGTGCAGCCGGTTGAGGCGACGCCTGGCTCGATGATGCCTTGCCGGCTCCCTGAACCACTTGTAGTTGTAGTTTGCATGTGCCAGCCGCATCGACTTGCAACACTTGTTGGGGTATCTGGGGCACCCTATTCAAGGCGCTGTCCTGGGTGTAGCGCAGTACGGCTGTACTGGTCCACCTCCCGAGCAACTGGATCAAGGAGAGCTCGACCCCAGAGCTCGACAGCATCTGTGCACCTGAGATCCGGAGCACGTGGCCGTGGTATCTCTGTGTCTCTTGCCCCTCTGGACCTGGGCGTGTGAGTGAAGTTCCCGTTCTTGCTATGACTCTTCGAACCGCTTCAATGAAGGTATTCTTGGATGCTGTGCGTCCGTCTGAATCTGGAAACAGTGGAAGGTGTTGCTGTGAGCCTTCATTGACGAGGGCTTCCAGTCGGACCAGGTGACGTTCGGCACTGTGCCAAACACACATCCCGTGGATTTTCACGGTGCAGGAGCATGTCAAGGACCGTTCTGTGTACCGTCCTCGTTGATCCGTCTTGTGGATGGGAATGCTCAGACAGACTTCGTTGCCATCTAGGCGGAGGTCGCATGCCCGTGCACTTGCCATTTCAGACTCACGGAGCATGAACCACAACCCGATCATGGCCATGTCCCGGCAGTGGGAGATATTGTCAAACGAAAAAGGCTCTTCATCTGAGGTCGGCTGTATGCCTCCTAAAAGTAGCCCGTTAAAGGCATCCTTGAGCTTGCTCTCGCCAAGCCCACGTTGGATGGATCTGATGCAATCTCTGATGCCCAGCTTGACAATGGCTGGGACTGGTGTCTTGAGTACTCTCTGTTGGTGGCCGCATATGGCCTGAAAGTACACTGCCGCACTGCGATACCCACCCGCTTTGAGCGATGCACCAAAGCATCTGATATTGTTGCCGTCCAGTGGGAATCCAGCTATCTCCCAAGCACGGCAGATGGCCATGTAGGTTCGGACTCGAGCTTCTACTGCTGGGTTGGTTGACTTCGCCAACACATCTTGGTCCAGAAGTTGCAAAGACCGTTGCCTCTGGTTCGGTAAGGCCGCTTCCAACGCCGCCTGTAAACAGGCTCTCTTGCCCATGCGACGCACCGGAAGATCAATCCGGTTTGTTGTGTCCGGGGTAGCGCCCGGGCCTGCTGCCGGGGTCCCCGAGGAGGCAAGGATGGCTTCCAATTGCCAATGGGGCATGCCTGCCTCATGCAGTGCGTCATACCTCAACACCAGCTGGTTGAGGCTGACGATCCCATGGCGGACCAGGTCAGGGGCAAGTTGTTCAAGCCCAGCCCTGCGAAGGGAGTCCCACAACTCTCCTAAATTGGACATCTGAGAGCAGCCAGACTGTGGTGGAAATCCGAAACTGTGTAAAGAAATGCATGCAATCAAATGAAATCAAGGCAAGTGAAATACACACAGCAAGATTCACTTCGTGCATCGTCAACCCTACACACTGCAAGACAAAACTGAAACGCTGAATGCATTCACGTTGGAGAAACAGAATGTCTCCGAGTCACATGCTATGAGTGATGAGAAGGGCTGATGAAGCCCAGATTGCAGGCACTTGCAGAACTCTGCGGTCCCTTTTTCAACCCGCGCAATGATCAAAATGAGCAGAGCCTGTCCCCTGTCCGGTCTCGAAGTAGACAGAGGAGATGAGGCCCTGGCTTAGCCCGACTGTCATGGTATTCGAAATCTCATAGGTGTACCCTGTGCATTCACTGGGGCTGCTGGCCAGCCATCATGGCTTCCTGAAGCCTGTCCTGAGTTCTTTCCAGGAGCGCCGTCTGCATGCGCCACTGATAGTTTTTCAGGGCCGTTTGGATCAGGTTGAGGGACGGGAAGATGTCATAATAGCGAAGTTCCTCTATGGCCAGCACCGCAGAGTAGAGGAGCCGGTCTGCCCGGGTCCCTGATTCGGCGTCTTTGGCGAGGCGCCAACGAATCATATGATCCGTGGCAAGTTCCAGTTCAGCCCTGAGCGCGGTCATCTCTCGGGCTACCTCCTCTCCAGTGGGATGGTCTGGACCCTCTGTCCATACAAAGTCCCCTTCTGCCATGGCCGCTGTCGACTCACAGGCTAAGGGGCCAATGATGGCCATCATCTGGACAAGAGTCAGGCTCAGGTGCCGAACTGGGTTGTTGCCGCATAGCGTCCAGTGGTCCAGCGCTGAAGTGGCTGCCATCAGCAATAGGCCCACTACGGGGCTGGTGGCGTTGTCCGGAAAGATGGTGTTGCGCGCCAGCTGCGCGTCTGCCACCCTCTCCATGAGGGACAATGCCAATGCAGCCATGGCTGACGTGACCTATCTGGACCTTGCTTTGGGCTATTTGAGCCTCTGTAGCTGCACCGTTGGCAGTTCAGCACTACCTCCCCATGTTCCTATGCACATGTGTGCTCTCATTCAATTGTTGTCCGAGTCTGTGTTCATTCATGGTGAATAAGCACCTTCTGGTTTCATAACGCAATGTTCAATTGCTGTGCGTGCTAGATGGGTTCCAAGATTTCACAAGACGATACCACCACTTGACAAACTGACATGGTACTTGACGGGTCAGCAGAAGGAAAGCACGCAAAGGTCAACAGCTGCAGCTAAAGAAGAACGACACCTGTCATCATGTTCAGAATCAAACTTGAATCAAACCATGCTGAAGAAAAACATTGCGCAACTGAGGCTTTATTTTGTTGAAAACTATTGAACATTATTGAACTAAAACTCTTCATGGCTTATGTTGTGCACAACAGTCTGAGATCCCTGACACCTTCGCCGTGACCTTCTGCTGCCAAGCTGCCATTCCTTTCAGCCAAGCCCTCGGACCCATCCCGTCTCAGTTTCACATCCTGGGCGCGCCAGTCGTCAGAGCTTCCTAGTGCCATACAGGTGACCCACACCGCAGAGTTGCACGTCCCGAATTTGTGCTATTAAATCGAATCATGAATCATATCATCTGAGGGTAGCTCATACTGAACATATTTTGGGCCTTTTTGGGCGCCAAGCTGCCACCAGATTTCGAAGTCATCGCCCCGCTCCTGTTTGATCTTCTCTGCCTCTTCCAATGCCTGGCCGCCCCCGACCTCCACGACACCCTACTCCTAACGGAACCCCCACTGGCGCCTGGAGGCCCGGTGGCCAAGGTCCCCACAGATTGGACCCAAATTCGCTGAGAGAAAGTCTCCAGAGACTTCGGTTCTGCACCAGACCAGCGGCCAAGGCCTGGCACTTGACATCGGATCCCACCACGCAGGGTGCCAGAATTCGAAACTTCCGACTGAAAGGAACAGCCACCAATGCTGTGACATGTAGCTGCTTGCGCTACCAATATGTTTGGGTACCCATGGATTCTACAGTGAGTCCTTTTTTGCAGCATGTATTCATTCATGGTGCCCTCAGCTCCTGGTTTCAAAACGCAATGTAGAAGTGCTGTGTGTGTGTGTGTGTGCTCGAAGGGTTCCAAGATTTCACAGGACCATATCGCCATTTCAGAAACACACATAGTCTACTTATAGTACTTGTGCTCAAACGGATTGAACTCTGTGGCATTAGAAGTTCGAGTTGCAGGTCGACCAACACCAGATTTCGATCAGGCAATGTGGCACAAGTTTGTGGGTACTGAAATGAACATATCTGGATATCGACAATTACACTACCACACTTTGAGACGAGGTTGTAGACATGCTATAAAAGGAAAAAGGGTCAGAGAAAAGGAAAGCACGCAAAGGTCAACAGCTGCAGCTAAAGAAGAACGACACCTGTCATCATGTTCAGAATCAAACTTGAATCAAACCATGCTGAAGAAAACATTGCGCAACTGAGGCTTTGTTTTGTTGAAAACTATTGAACATTATTGAACTAAAACTCTTCATGGCTTATGTTGTGCACAACAGTCTGAGATCCCTGACACCTTCGCCGTGACCTTCTGCCAAGCTGCCATTCCTTTCAGCCAAGCCCTCGGACCCATTCCCGTCTCTTCACATCCTGGGTGCGCCAGTCGTCAGAGCTTCCTAGTGCCATACAGGTGACCCACACCGCAGAGTTGCACGTCCCGAATTTGTGCCCAGTGAACCCCAAAATAGCTGGGATTCATGGATGTTCATCCCCCTAAAAATGGTATGTATAGGTATTGATCCATAGCCATATCATCTGAGGGTAGCTCATACTGAACATGTTTTGGGCATTTTTGGGCGCCAAGCTGCCACCAGATTTCGAAGTCATCGCCCCGCTCCTGTTTGATCTTCTCTGCCTCTTCCAATGCCTGGCCGCCCCCGGGCTCCACGACACCCTACTCCTAACTGAACCCCCCACTGGCGCCTGGAAGCCCGGTGGCCAAGGTCCCCACAGATTGGACCCAAATTCGCTGAGAGAAAGTCTCCAGAGACTTCGGTTCTGCAGCAGACCAGCGGCCAAGGCCTGGCACTTGACATCGGATCCGACCGCGCAGGGTCCGGACAATCCTGAACTTCCGACTGCAAGGAACAGCCACCAATGCTGTGACATGTAGCTGCTCAGCTTTGGAAGAACTGACCTACAACTCTGCCACATCTCCTTTTTCACATAGTCATAGACTTCACTCCCAACTATATACTTGATCTTTCCGGCAACATCTCCAGCAAAGTCCAGCTACCCAGACCATCACCCATCCCCCGGAAAACCAGCAGGCCCCAGCAGGGCCTCAGCTCCACAGTCACCGAAGTTGTTGGAGTTGAGGAAGAGCCACCGCAAACTTCCGTTGCTCTTCAGGCTTTCTGCCAGGGCCTTGCCATCTGCCGGTTGGGGGGAAAAGCAGAGAAACACTTCAGGGGAAATCTGCACTGTGGCCCTTCCAAAACCAACAAGAAGCGGACGGAATTACCATGTAACAAGCTCTCAATGACCATTTGCAAAAAGCTGGTTGAATTTTAATCGTGCGATCACCGAGAGTTCAAAAAAACAAATGAATCTGGTGGTGTCTTCCATTGTTGCCTCTTTTTCATTGGCTCTGTGAATGACCTGAGGAGAGCTTATGCGGTTGCTCAACCCGCAGTTGCCGAACTGTACAGTAGCACAGCTCATGACCAAACCCCCCTTGCAAATGCCGAACGATGCTTCAAATTGCTTCACTCATTGCTCATATATGCTCATATAATGTCACATTGGTACTACAGTAGGAAGCTTGAAGCATCACAGGCCTACAACATCTCCCACACCTGCCGCAGGCGCCTCAGCGCCACAGTCACCGATGTTGTTGTCCTCCAGCTCAAGCCACCCCAAACTTCCGGTGCTCGCAAGGGTTTCAGCCAGGGCCTGGCCGTCTGGGTGCCACGAACTGTCAGATAGACTCCATGAAAAGTTTGCACAGTGGCTCTTCCAAAACCGAAAACAACTGGACGGAATCAAAGACTGTTTGCAAAGAAAAATATGTTGACGCGCCTGAATTTCAAGCATGCGATCACCCAAAGAAAACAATCTGGTTTGCTCCACACAGATTCATAACGCAGAACAAAGGAATCAGGTGGTGTGTGGCATTGTTTAGTTCTGCTTCATCGGCTTTGCTAAGGACTAAGGAGAGCTTCTCCGGTTGCTCAACCCACAACAGTTGCCGAATCGTACGAGTACGGCGACACAGCTTCTGACCAAATCACACCCTGCAAATGCCCCACAAACGAACGACGTATCCAATCCCTGTACCACTGTACCGATATCTTAGTCGGGAAATGTGAAGCATCACAGGCCTGCAACATCTTCCACACCTTTGTCACCCAAACTTCACCCCCCAACCCCTTGAAATCCTTGAAGATCACCTGATCACCTGGCCTTTCTTACATTTTCTTACCACATCTCCAGCCCCAGCTGGACAAACTGTCGCTCGAATCCCCCAAGACCAGCAGGCCCCGGCTGCAGGCGCCTCAGCGCCACGGTCACCGATGTTGTTGTTCTGGAGCTCAAGCCACCCCAAACTTCCGTTGCTTTTAAGGCCTTCAGCCAGGGCCTGGCCGTCTGCCGGGGGAAATTTGCACAGCGGCCAAACTGACAACAAATTGACGGAATCACCATGGCGGCGCCAAGGATCCCTCGTAAATAATCTCTCAAAAGACTGTTTGCAAAGAAAAATATGTTGACGCGCCTGAATTTCAAGCATGCGATCACCCAAGAGAAAACAATATGGTTTGCTCCACATAGATTTATAACGCAGAACAAACGAATCAGGTGGTCTGTGGCATTGTTTAGTTCTGCTTCATCGGCTTTGCTAAGGACTAAGGAGAGCTTCTGCGGTTGCTCAACCCACAACAGTTGCCAAATGGTACAATGGCACAGTTCTGACCAAACCACTCCCTGCAAGAATGTTTTGCTGACTAGCGGATGGATTTGAACAACCCTAATAGATCGGAATATTTACTGAATTACTGGGTAATCTTATGACATCTTGTGACTTATGACTCTTTTTGGACTGAAAAATAAACCTCCTACTGCTCCTCCTTGATCTCGCTCAATCTGAACCCCCACCTCGTTGCCTCGTTTGAGGTCGCTATAAATTATGCGACATCTCCATACATCTCGCACGCCTTTCCTGTTTCACACAAACTTAACCCCCAGCACAACCTCTTTGAAGATCACCTGGCCTTTCTTGCCACATCTCCAGCCCCTGCCCCAAACTGTCGCTTAGATCCCCCAAGACCAGCAGGCCCCAGCAGGCGCCTCAGCTCCACGGTCACCGATCTTGTTGTTCTCGAGCCAAAGTCCCTTCAATCTTTTGTTGCTCTTAAGGCTTTCAGCCAGGGCCTGGCCGTCTGTGGTGGGGGAACAGTCGGGATTGACCGCTGCGAAGTGGACAGAATCACCCTGCGGGAGGAAAGATCACTTGTCAAGACCACTACCCATATTCTTTCAGTGGCAGCAGAGGTGCCTCCGCACCCTGCTCCCCGATGTCGTTGTTGTTAAGGACAAGCTCCTCCGTGGTGGTGGTCTTAAGAGCCTCCGCCACAACCTGTGGCAGCCCGGTCGCAGAAAATCTAAACTGATGCTTTTCAATGGTGGAAAACTCGGGACAGGTATAACAAACCCAAAATATGACCATGCAAAACACTCGTTCCATGCTGAAACAACCCAAAATATGACCATGCAAAACACTCGTTCCATGTTGAAACAATGTTTTTTGGCACTTATTCTCTCTTGTTATAGCCGCGCACTTCCCTGCAAATACAAATACTGACACTTTGGACAGCTCTCCCAGTAGACTCATCTTTCTCGATGGAACAGTTGGGCCCTTGTCTTTAAAAAAGATACACCTTTTTTGGACATGAGCGAGCCATCTTTTAACCACCTGGATGGCTGGTGAGAGATAAATCTGCGCACCACAGCTAGTTTCAACATGTTTCAACACAATTCATGATTTTTGAGATCAGAAATCTATGATGCCCAAAAAGGGCCTATAGATGCCTTAATATCTGCCTATTCGAGGGTCAACTCAATCGTTTCTGAATCGAAGTTTCTGATACGTTCCGGCGAATGATCCTGCGATCCCCCTGCCATGATGTTAAAACGGGCGAGTGTCCAATTATAGCAAACAGATGCACCGACTGGAAAGCGAGATCAGCAAAAACATGGCAAAAGTAGTTCTTAATAGTTCTTAATAGTTCTTAATAGTTCTTAATAGTTCTTAATAGTTCTTAATAGTTCTTAATAGTTCTTAATAGTTCTTAATAGTTCTTAATAGTTCTTAATAGTTCTTAATAGTTCTTAATAGTTCTTAATAGTTCTTAATAGTTCTTAATAGTTCTTAATAGTTCTTTATAGTTCTTTATAGTTCTTTATAGTTCTTTATAGTTCTTAATAGTTCTTATTAGTTCTTAATAGTTCTTAATAGTTCTTTAATATTTTTGTTTAGTGTAATTTCTCAGCATTAATCCCTGAAAAACATCGAGATGGGATATGCACCCGGAGACTCCACCGCGGCACCTTGGCGCCGGAATCGCCGATCTTGCGGTGGTCGAGACCGCACTCGGTCTTCCCGGCGAACACAGCTGCCATGCACTGCAGAGCATCGAGCTCCTCATGACTGAGCATGTCGAGATCCTGCGCATGTCGGGTGAAAACTGGTGCTCGAAGTCTGCCAAAATCCTACTTGAAAGATCTTGAAAGATCCTGAAAGCACGTTATGTTCAAGTGACCATTGTTGAGCTGTGACCTGGGACTTTCAGTAGTTAGGATCTATGTTGCCTCATTGACATGAAACATGCGCAGCAAATCCAAGGAAACAAAAGTTTGCCTGCCATGAGGGGTCGCACAGCTGGCAAAGCGGCTCCATCACAAACTCGAAACTTTGCAAAGGCCAAAACATCTCATGCTCAACACTTCCAGTGTGTTCCAAGATTCCGTAAATGGTTTCCCATGGGCATTGAGTCCTTCAGCTCTTCGCTCATGAAGCCGCAGTGCTTCGTTACATCCAGAAAGAACGTCAAATGCGGCAGGATCTCCGCGAAAAGCTGTCTGTCGCCCTCGATTTCGGCCTGCGCAGGGTGTTGCTGGTGCTGGTTACTCGAAATGACTGGAAGCTTGACACCATCGTGAAAGGTTGGCTTGTTTTGCACATCTCTGGTCAGTTTAGTTGTCGTATGTGCTGATATCAGACCTATCTCAGCTTAATTAAATTAAACGAGCTGCGTTTCACAGGTTCTGGCTCATTGTTTGCATTGCATGCGTTATCGCGTTATCAATGCCGCAGCTTTCTCGGCAATTCATCAAAGACCTTGTGGACCCGGCCTCTTCCCACAATGCTTTGGCCGCCACTGTGTTCCCACTTTTCATGGCTCGGCTGAGCCTCTTTCCCAGCGCCGGGATCGCAGCCGCGCGCACAGGCTTAAACAATGAAAAGGTGAGAGCAACCTGTACTCCGGGTATGACTAGGTTCAAGGCAGCGACAAAAAAAGATCCACCTTCAACAGCCAAAAACAGGACAGACATCAGTGCCTGGGGCACATTCTCAATGAGCAAGTGGTGGCGCTTGCTCTTTGTCACTTGTTTGTAGATTGTGGGGAGGATAATCCCTTCCCAGCAACCTCCGGACCACTCACCCGGGACCTTTGGGGCGATAAGCAAAACTGAGAGGTGGCTCGTGGCCAGCTCGTTAAAACAGTTTGCACCCGGCGCATCACCCGAATTTGGGTCGAAATCATAGGGAAAAGGGCGTGAATATCTTGCAAGATAAAAGAACCAAGCGTGGGAGGCCAATAAGTAAGACCAGCTCAACACGCCAAGTATCTTCATGGAAAACTGTTGTGACTGCGAACAAAGCCATCCAAAAATGACATCTTTTAAAGTGTCAGACTGATCAGATAAAAAGGGAGCCATGGAAGAAAATGACGCCACGGCAAAGGCAGTAGCATCAAAGCGGTCCCCTCTGTTGAGCCAGGCCACCGCCAGCACGGCTTGGACGAGCAGGGAAGCACCGGCACGACAAAACAGCAACAAATAAATTTCCCAGGCCAAGCCGAATGTCTTGGAGAGCCTTCCTGTCTGGAGGCTCCACAGACATGCCGCGAAGCTCAACAATACTGTGCTGCCGAAGCTCAACATGACCAGCCGTAGCTGAGCCCCTTTGCTCAGTGGGGTGGTGTGACCGAGAGCCTGGTAGGAGCCTCGTGCTTTTAGCTCAGCTCCTACGACCATGATGACGGTCCCTGAGATAACAACACAAAGAAAGACCAGGAGAAAAACACAAAGAAACCAATGGAAGCGGTCACCCCTTTCCTGATCCGTCATGGTTCTGATTTCTGCAATCGTTGGAAGGAACTCTTTTGGCTCCTCAACGGTCTGCGCGGTAAAATTTCCATGGATTGCGTTTTCGACAATTTCAACTACATCCGGCAGGTCAGGAATCTCTGGCAGACTCAGACCAAACGCAGCGCAGATCAGGCTCAGTTGCTGGATTTTCATGGCGCCACGTCGGAGGTCCAAATCTGTTTCTATCTGGGCGCCCTTGAGCTTCCAAAACTGGCTGTGAATTTCACGCAGTAGGAGGTCGCAAGGCTCAAAGCTGTTTCGATTCGGCAGAAACTTTGAGTTAGTCTCCGTTTTTGTCAGAGATCACAACCAATCTGCGAAAGAATGACATGCTGTGCGGCGTCATACTTTTCCAAGCGACCACACGGTGTTTGTTCAGCACTTGACGATCTCACTCTGTGGATCTTGATCTTTGGGGCTTTCAAGGTCCGTCTGTATTGAATAACATGAAAGGACTTGAACAGTGCTGTTCACTTGCATATGTGCTCAGAAGCCATGCACTTTGGTCGTTGTTTAAAGAAACACTGGCCATTGTTCAGTCGTCTTTATGTCCGTCAGTACGGACCCGTCAAACCTTTTCTATGACCCTCACACAAATCCATGAAACAAAATAGAGTGGGAGGTCAGCGAGAGTAGATCTGAGTCTTGCTTATTGGGGAGTCGGACAGTTTTCTAGTAAATCGCACTCAACCTGAATTGCTTCAATGTTTTCACACCAACCCAAGCATAGCTATGGATACAATCAGGACTGATGTTGTCCTGGAGCGCCATGGGGATGTGGTGAACATGGTGAACATGGTGAACACGGTGAACATGGTGAACATGGTGAACATGGTGAACATGGTGAACATGGTGAACCTTGAGACCCCTGGATGAACGGATTCAATGGAACAATTTGGTGATTAATTTGGTGAGTATTGATCTCATCTAAAGTATACTTACGAAAACGATCACTTCTTTGGCGAGTGCGAATTCACCAAATCCGGACACGTCAAGCAGCCTGATCTCTCAACTTGTGGGCACCATCACAAAGCATGATCGAATAAAGTGGTAAACCAAATGTTCTTCACCCAAGTCTCGGTGTGGTTTTAACCCGAAATGGTACAATTGGGGATGGCTTCTGATTGGGTTTACCACATGATATAACCGATATAACAAGATTCACTGAAGATGTGAACAATAGATCAGATTTGTCTACAGCGCAATATCCAAATGCACCATGTATTCTTCTCATATCCACTGATTTCCTCCCTCCGGCACAGCCCTAACCCCACTAACGCTGCCGCTCCTTTCGCTGTTTCTGAAAGCCCGCGTACAGGTGCAAAAACATTCCCATTTTGGTCAATATGATCACTGCACAGTTGTGAAGGTGAAACAAACAAAATCCGCAGAGGTGAGTTTGGGTATGTTTTGCTGACATTTGGCGACATGGAAACTGTCCAACCAGCCTCTATAGCGGAAACCGTGGAGCCAAAACACTGCGCGTTTTCAGAGTCGGATGATGCAAGTAGTGAAGTGTATGACTCAAAACCATGCCCTGTCATGACGAGTTGCCAGTAAGACAAAATTACTTTGCGATGAGGGGCAAACATGCTCAGCAATGCATCTCCACACAACCGATCATTGGAGGAAGTCAAGAAACCGGCACACCGAGAGCAATTGAATGATTTTGCAAAGTCTCGTGTCCGCGTAAGCAGAACGGCAACCTTCTGAAGCTGATGCCAGAGCTGCTCCAAGACTTTTTCACCAAGATGAAATCAAAATATATTCAAACAGATTGGTGATTCGTTCTTTGAATACAAGTAATTACTGGTGCTTTCAGATGGTTGATTTGTTTTCAGACTATACGTACTTACCTGGTGTTGACCCTTTGCATCAATACGCTTGCAGCCTGAATGCATGGCTTCAAAGAAGGGTGAGCCAGTACTATGGACAGGGTGGTGTCTGTTCCAAAGATTGATCAGCAAGGGTGGTTGAGGACGTGATGTCTTTTCAGGTTGCGGCTCCACTTGCAACATCCCATTGGAACAGAAGCGCCACCCATTAGTCAGCGCCTTGGTGTTCCAAGATGTTGGTCATGTCATAGGCTGACGAAGTTTGCAGTGCACGTGGGCCCTTTACGTCTCTGCAGCTAAGAACAGTCATCATCACAGCTGACAGCTGTCAAAGATTCTACATCTACCTTTCTGTCTTCCAAAGTTTTGGACTCTTTGTTCAAATATGAAGGTCTCTCTCACTCTCACATCCTCAACTTCAGTTCTCTTTGGCAGAACCTGCCAGGATAATCTAAGATTCTGCTTCGTTACACATCTTGATGTCTTCCGAGAGTTGAACCTATATCTGAAAATTTGGGGGGTGCAAACGGTGCAGAAGTTTACAGTACCTGCAATAAAATGACAATATGAAGTGCATGTTTGGCTACCCCTTTCACGCCAGCATCCCTTCCTAACACCGCCGAGCTTCACAATTCTTGAAATCAATTACCTCACGCCACAGGTAGGGAGGGATGCTGCCCATTTGAAGGCCATAGTCAATCTTGAAACAGGAAAAGGATGGGAACGGAACATGAAAAGGGAAAGGAAGAGTGAGAGGAACAAAAATAACTCTTCGTTGGACAAGGCTAGCTGCAGAAAAACATCAAGGATTTCTGGCTGAACGATGTTCAAATACCTTTGGGATGTTTTTGCAGTAGTTTTTCACGTGTATAGATTCACACCTTCAAAGTAAACTGCCGCAATGAACCAAGATTGAACACTGCAGGGAGGAAATCAAAGTCGCCGGAAACAGCCAAGCTTCAAGGACATCTGGCTTTGTCGATGTCCAATTGCCTCGAGATCCGAAGAGACACAGCTGAACCTGATTCTTGGGTTGAATCATGTTGAATCAACTTCAACCCCACCCCTCCATTCGTGGCCTGTCTGACTTTCAACAAGTGAGTTGACTATTTCCTCAGCCAGTGTTTATTGTGAACAGCCACTGCTTCTACTATGGCTTGCGTGCGCAATACACACCACCATTTCACGACACCATCATTCGAGATAGAAGGCTATTGCAATCCCAAACTTTGAGATGAGGTTGCAGACACCATAAGGAAAATGAGTCAGCAAAAGGAAAACACACAAAAACCCAACAGCGATCTATCACCGTGTGGAATCAAACATAGCAAATTCAAATCAACCCATGTTGAATGAAGCAAAAACATGGCGCGATTGAAGCTTTGCTTTGAAACTCCAAAGTTTGAACTCTTCATGGTTATGTTGTGCACCCCAGGGTCTGATAGAAATTCCTGTTTTTGGGGGGCAATCGTTACATCAAAGCAATGATTCCTTTATCCTTCTGCCAAGCTGCCGTGCCAGTTGGTGCCTTGATGGCTTTCAAGTCACTTTGGATCTTCTCAGTCTCAGTACCTCGGTGCACACCCAACAGCCAACAGGATGGGCTCAACTGTCAACAGAAAACTTGCAGCGTTCCAACCAATCCAACTTCCTGAGAAGCTTTACGAAAATTGACACAGGAAAGTGGGTGGCTCCAACAAAGTCTTCCCACTGTGCATAAGGTCAAGTTGCTATTTGAATGTGGTTTCAAAATAGAACACCAACAAAGCCCAAACAAACTGAATCACTTTCTACACTTGGTTCGTATCAAACTTTATCAATCCAAACAGCTTCGATCAGTTGAAAGACTCTTTCGAGCCGAAGCCAAGCTGCCACACAATCTTGAAATCTTCGCCTCTCCGCCTCTTCCAGAGCCTGGCAGCGCCGAGGAGCTGGTCTCCGCTGAGACGTGACAGATGCGAAGGCTCCGGTGAGCGCAGAACCACTTGCGAAAGTCTAGAGCCAATTGTTGTGATCAATACTGAATCAATACAATTTTCTGAAATTTAAATCATCCACTTCACTTTGAAGTTCACTTTGACTCGTTTCAAATAGACATCTCGGTCGGCCGCAAGGAAGGCCGCACCCCAAATGGTTTCGGCACCCGACGCATCTCCCTGGCCTACACTGCCCCAGACCCGAGCGCCTGGCCACCCGGTGTGTCGCGAAGGGATCTGTCGAGACGAAGGTACGTCAGACTTCGGTTCTCGATGATCCCAGCGGCCAAGGCCTGGCCGCCGAGGCATCGGCATGGGCAACCCACGGCCCAGGGGGCTCCCAAAATCCCATCCGACGCCAAGGGAACAGCCACCTGATCACCTGGAAATCCAACGTGCAATGCTATCTGAGTAGAAAAAACTGAAGCGCAGTAGCGCGGCTTTTCATTTCTCGGCACAAAACTACGCAAAGCCACTGTCTTCAGCTCAAAATCTCCAAGATGTTTCATCGCGAGAGTTGTCCCTCGAGTTTTTCTAGACCCCCTTTGGCACAGCTCCAGCATGGGAGAATAATCAAAACAACAACCAGCAAAAACACAATTCAATTATGGTATAATGTCAACCCTGGATCAATAAACCCATATGCTGTTCAATTGGGGGGTACCGTTCAAGTATCAGACTATCACTATTTGGGGAGTACCCCCTAATTTGCATCACTTGTGACTAAACCATGCAGTGCAAATGTTTCCACCTGTGAAAGTGTTCAAAAGGATTCAATGGCATTCAAGTAGTCACACATATCTCACCAAGAGGCACCAAGACACACGGGTCTAAAACTTTTCCCACACGCATCATTTTTTCCCTCACACTTCACCATCCAATCCCTTGGACATCCCCCCCAGCCGGGCGCCTGAGCACCGCTGTCTCCGATGCTGTTGTTGTCGAGGAAAAGCTTCTGCAGACTGCGGTTTTCCCTCAGTCCCTGCCCCAAGGCCTGGCCGTCTCAGGGCGACAGCATCGAGATGGACTCCAATCTGGTAGTGTCTGGCATTGGCTCTGATCTTTGGCCGGATGAATGACAAAAAAAAACTTATGCGGTTGCTCCACCTGCAGTTGCCAATATCTACAGTTGCACAGTTTCTGACCGAACCACTCTCTCTGTAAATTTTCCACAATCCTTCGACATTTCAATCATATGTCAAATGGTCAAATAGTCAAATAGTCAATTTTTTTTGCCCTTTAAATCTCTGGGAAATTTTGTGCAAAAATGGATCAAACGATATTTCGAGCTTGCAAGGTTGCAGGAAAGATGAACAGTGCAACCCATGAGATTGAACTCTAAGGCTGGATACGATCGGCAGTTAGTGGGGTGCAACCTGGTCTTACTCTTTGCTACCGTTTGCTATCAGAGCTCAATGGCCCATTGTGAGTCAGTAGCGCACATGAATTATGCAAAATGTGCGAAAATGTTCGA